CCGTGATGCCCTGTGAACCATGAGCAGATGCCAAGGGCCTCCAGATGTTTCAGCAAATCCTCTAATATGAAACAGGCCAAAGCAAACAAACAAACAAACAAACAAACAAAAACAACAAAAAAAAGAGGAATAAGCAAATTGGAAGAAATAGAGATCATGCAAGGGAAAGAGAAAATACCATTAACTTCCTCAGAGTTATAGGAGAGAAATTGTTGGATTTACTGAACAAGAACAGCCATTGTTTAAGTAGAAGAGGGAGAAGATGAATCAAATAACCACGAGGTCCTTTAGAAATTAAAAATAGGTGTTGAAAATTTTGTTTGTTTGTTTCTTTGTTTTTTTTGTGTGTGTGTGTGACAGGTAAGGGGGTTGCAACCCTAGGCGCAGTGTCGCCCACACCGCGCTCAGCCAGTGAGCGCACCGGCCATCCCTATGTAGGATCCGAACCCGCCCGCGGCAGCGCCGCTGCGCTCCCAGCGCCGCACTCTCCCGAGTGAGCCACGGGGCGGCCTATAAGTGTTGAAATTTAAATTAGAAAACAACTCCCTAGAAAGGTGAGAAAATAACACACAGGAAGCCTGATTATATCAAAAAGACAAAAGGATAACAAGAAAGATAAAATTGAAAAAAATAGCATAAAAAAGTAAAAGGAGTAAAAGGCAAAGAGAGAGAGAGAGAACTGAAGTGCGAGTCCAGTGGAGCCAGTGTCTGAACAACCGGAGCTCCAGGAAGAGCAGCGCAGACGGGCAGCAGGAGAGAACCGGGGAAGAAAGGCGGAAGGGACAGTTCCCGGAGGTCCCCAGAGGTCCCCACGTGGAGAGTGACGATGGATCCACACCCCGCCCCGCACTGGGGAAGCACAGAGGACACCGTGTTACCTCTGGGTGTGGCAGTCCAGGGGACGGACCCCTGCGGAGGATCCTCAAGTGGGAGGCGACAGGGGAGTCCGGCCTTCAGCGTCTGGTGGAGAGTCGGTTCCAATCTCCGCTTTTCCTCAGTCAAACGTGAGTCCGACAAGGCGAGGACGGGCCTCTGGACGATTAGCAGCCCAAGACCGTTTTCTTAGCAGTCTATGGGGGGGCGTCTTCCACGACCAAGAAGACATAAACCCGGACAGGGGACAGGGCCCTGGTGATGGCCACGGGGGATCGTACCGACCCCGACTGCTCGGAGTAGACAGAAGGCTCCCAGGAGGTGTCGTCCAGAGCACCAGATTGGTCCCTGAGGCGTTCAGCTGTGGTGACAACAGCTGCCCTAACCGGGACAGTGCGCGTGCGCAGACGCCACCGCGCACAGAGGAGACGCAGCCCGCGCCGGGCTGTCAGCCGCGTCCCCGCAGCCGCCGGTGTGCGGCGCTCAGAGCCGCCGACGGGAAGCCGCGGTCGCGGGGTGCGCTCTCCGTGGCGCCTCCTGGTGGCCCTGCCTGCAGCTGCCGCCCTCAGGCCGCATTCCCGGGACAGGAGCGCACGACCGGCCACTGTCCACTCGATGCTCCCGCCCCTCTGCGGGCCGATGACAGCGGATTCCAGCGACACGACGGGTTCT